ATCACTATTTCTTAACATAATTTATTTGATAATTATTATTACTATCAATTTAATTATATCCATCATTAATGAATATTAATGATATTGATAATTATAATAAGAATTATATTAACGACAATAGTAAAAGTTATAATAATTATTATTATTATTATTATTACAATAATAATAATCATCATCATTATTATTATTATTACTATTATCATTATTATTATTATCTATATTGTTATTATTATTATTATTATCATTATTATTATTATCATTATTATTATTATTATAATGATAATTATTATCACTATTATCATTGAGTATACATTTAGGGGCGTCAACTGGGGGGCAGTTCCCCCTAACCCCCACCTCAATACTGTGTTTGCTGTCTTATCTTCATCATTATTGTTGTTGATGTTGTTGTAGTTGTAGTTGTAGTTGTTGTTATTATTATTATTATTGTTATTACTATTTTTAAATTTCGGATGAAGACGCATGACCTTCCCCGATAGAAGATGTAATTTAGATATCCCTAACTTCATTATTCAAAGAAAACGAAAGCTTGTCAAGTAAATTTAAACGGTGTGACGCTTCATTCTAAAATTCTTATCTTGGGGCTTCTATATCTAACTATTTGTAATTCTACCTTTGATGTTTCTTTTATTATTGCTTTATCTTTCTGAGGCTTGTAAATATTGTCATATGTGCACTGTCTCTGTTATATTCAGGATCCTACCAGGGTGCATTCTGTGTAAAACTCACGCCGGAGGTACGCCAATAGCTCATCGAGTGTACGCCAGCGTTCCCGAAAAGAGTAATTTTTCATAAAGTATGACGCCAAGTTATAGCCAAGTAGATTGTAGATGCAATCACATTGTCTCAAAAACTCCAAGACACGGCGGCACTTTTGAAAACTATGGAAGTGATAAAAACAGCCGCAAGGAGTGTAGGGGGGGGGGGCATGCGTTGTAAAAGAATAAAACAAACGACTATGTATTAGTGCATTGCGTTCAACTAAAAATTGCGTTCAACTAAGATTGTGTGATTGTGGGACAAAGTATGTATGCTGTGCAGGGTAGAACAAGAACAGCATATGTCAAGAACAGCATATGTCAACACTCGGGCAGAATGTGCAAGACGCATTAAATTTAACCACGAGAAACTCCCAGGAACATGGGCTTATCTAAGGGAGTTAGAAAATGAAAATAATAGTAGTATATATGCATGCAAAAAGGTGTGGCAAACAGCGACGTGGTCCACCTTTTGTCATTAAATAACGAACATTGTGAACTCATAAAAAAAAAATCAATTTGTTAACCCATTCTTGCAAAGAGGGAGAAGTACATGTAATCATTTTGTCGCACTCGTCTCTCAGCATTTATAACCCAAATCGCTGAAGATCCCATGAGCAGGTGTTCAATCCCTCAGACAATCAAATACCCGCCTCCCGGGAGTCAAATCGCATTTAACCCATTCGCGCCGGGTAAAAATGAACAAAAAATGGGGGAAATGCTGTGCTCATTTTTTATACTTTTTGTGAAATTTCTCTACACTAGATGGCTCTGCCTTACCTGATTCCATTTGGCGGGAAAATGTATTTTTACTAGTACGATGAATATCGATGATTATTTTTATTATAAACATTATAATTACTATAATGTTAGTAACAGCAAAATAAGATAACGTATAATATTTTCGTAAATTAAAGAAAAGGGTAAACAGGCGAGACAGGCAGTAAAAGTACAAGTGAAGCCATCTATGTGGAAAAACAATTAAACAAGTAAACTCACAGTGGGCCCGTCACATGAGACCCGGCGTGAATGGGTTAACAATGGGGCATAATCGTCTAGTTCTTCGCATTCATGTTTTATATGATTTTGAGGCTCAAAAAGAGGCTTCCAAAATAAGTTTCTTAAAAGTAAAAAAAAAACTCGTTACGTCTCACCTGCCACAGCATAACGAAGTCTGATATTTCTTATCTTATCGTGAAATTTCCTGTTACGAAAGTTGTGGCTTCCTCACCTGTCCGGGTCTACATATTAATAATTGAAATTATGTTTGATTATATCAACTGCCATGAGTATTTTCATATTCATCCTCTTTGTCAGAACTATTTATATAAGAAAATAAAAAATGGACCTACGTGTGATTCCACTCTTGACATGGAACAGTCTCGAACGCAGGTCTTGGGAATTCCATGCCATAACGTTAACCATTTTTCCATAGCGACAATCTTCATTCTTTTAATAATTAGGGACAAATTTAAACTATGCATTCATCACATCATTGTTATTGTCATTATTGTTATCATTATTACTATCATTACTGTTTCTATTATCATTATTCTTATTGTTTTTAATATTATTATTTTTACTTTCAGATTATTACCGTTATTATTATCATCATTATTATTATTATCATTGTCATCATTATTAATAACTGATAATGGCAATGGTAATAATAACAATAATAATGATAACAATAATAATAATAATACTGATAATAATGATTATTATTTTTATTATTATTATAATAATTATCATCATTGCGTCTATCATTTTCATCCTCAGTATCATCATAATTACTATTGTTTGATTATAATCGGCACAATTATCATTTTTATCATTATTTTTGATATTACGAGTGTAAACTTTAGTATTTATTATCTCTATTATTGTTATTATTATTATTATCATTATTATTATTATTATTAATAGCAGTAGTATTATTTATTACCATCATCATCATCACAATTATCATTATTATGGGTGTTATTTTACTATTTTCATCATTATCCTCCTTTTTGCTATTATTATTATCATTATTACTATTATTATTATCATTGATATTTTTCATCATTATCATTACTATTATTATCATTATCATCATAATTATTACCCTTAATTTTATCATTATCTTCATCATTATCATTATTACATAATTATTGTTGTTATTACTATCATTATCATAATTACTGGTATATGTATATATATATACATATGCACACACACACACATAGGCAAAGATAAAGAGATAAAGAAAGACAGATATATATATATATATATATATATATATATATATATATACATATATATGTATTTATATATATATATATATATATATATATATATATATATATATACATATATATGTATATATATATATATATATATATATATATATATATATATATATATGTATATATATATATATATATATATATATATGTATATATATATATATATATATATATATATATATATATACATATATATACATATATATATGTGTGTGTGAGTGTATGTGTGTGTGTGATAAGTAGAAAAACGATATATTTGTTAAGATTTTTCTCTCCACCAGGATACAGAAAGGTTGAGACATAATTATTCTCGCTTTTGTTTCTTGATCTCTTATCTCTCTCCTGCATCCTCTTTATGTCCGTGTACTATTTTAGGCCTTTCCTGTTGACGCACAATCACGCACGAAAGGATACTAACGTAAATACACATATATGCATATAAATGTGCTTGGTTTAATAAAGCCTTATAGCTTTGTTTATATTAAGATCTAAGGTAGAAAATAACAACAAATAGTCAGATGAGGCTTTATTGGCATAAGCGGAACACATCAATTTAATTCTGAAACCAACTAGTCTGAATCCTTATCCTCAGATTACAATCTGTATTCCATATGAATTGTACCATTTTGTTCTGCAAAGCAATCAAATAAGCAAACAAACAAACAAAATATTGCATTCCTATCTCCCTCTCCTCTTTACTTTCCTCTTTCTTTTCTCTCTCTCTATCTCTATCTCTATCATCCTCTTCCTCTCCTACCTCTTCCACCTTCTCTCTCTCTCTCTCTCTCAAAAATTACAGAACTTCGCTGCGAGAGTAGCGCTTGGTAATGTCAATACGTATGACCACTAAACTAAATTGGCTAAAAGTACAAAACAAATGTAACTATGACACTTGCGTACTAATTCACAATATAATCCAAGGGTTTTATCCAAAATGGCTATTAACCCTTCCAACCGTAGGAAACACAACCTGTGCCCAAACAAGACAGGTAAACTCCCTACACATCAAAAGATCACGCACAGATATAGGGGCACGGCAGACACTTACACATGGATCCATGATTTGGAACAAATTACCAAATAATATCAGAAATATCAGAAAATCTAATACATTCAAAAAGAAATTAAAAGAAAATCTCTTAAATCACCAATAACACCAGGCTTCCATATATACGAATAGGCATGACTATGTACTGTCAATATTTCTATGGGTACCTTATATTTACATGTACTGTAAAATCCCTTTCTCTGTAAAAGGAATAATCATTGTATTTAATGGAATAAAGTATTTTGAATTTGAATTTGAATTTCCTACCTCTTCCACTATCTCTCTCTCTCTTTCTCATCCTCTTCCTCTCCTACCTCTCTCATTTCTCTCTCTCTCTCTCTCTCTCTCTCATCTCGTACCTCTTCCACCTTCTCCCTCTCTGTCTCTCTCTCCTCTCCTACCTCTTCCATCTTCTCTCTCTCTCTCTTTCCTCTCCTACCTCTTCCATCTCCTCTCTCTCTCTCTCCTCTCCTACCTCTTCCACCTTTTCTCTCCCTCTGTCTCTCCCCTACCTCCCTCCCCCCTTCCGTCTCGCGCTTCTCCCTCCGCTTTGCAGCGTTTGCAACATCCCTTGGCTTTCTTAAGGAACTTGAAGGCTTGATTTTCCAAAGGAACTTGATGGCTTGATTTTCAAATGGAACTTGATGACTTGATTTTCCAATGGAACTTGATGACTTGATTTTCCAAAGGAACTTGATGGCTTGATTTCCCAAAGGAACTTGATGACTTGATTTTCAAATGGAACTTGATGACTTGATTTTCCAATGGAACTTGATGACTTGATTTTCCAATGGAACTTGATGACTTGATTTTCCAAAGGAACTTGATGGCTTGATTTTCCAAAGGAACTTGATGGCTTGATTTCCCAAAGGAACTTGATGACTTGATTTTCCAATGGAACTTGATGACTTGATTTTCCAAAGGAACTTGATGGCTTGATTTTCCAAAGGAACTTGATGGCTTGATTTCCCAAAGGAACTTGATGACTTGATTTTCCAATGGAACTTGATGACTTGGCTTCCTAAATGAAGACGGTCCCAAGTAGGAAAGTTAAGATGATAACATTCAGTAGGACCAATGACACTTCTAAGTCCATATCGGAGTCAGAATCTTGATCTGAAATGGTGGTAATGAAATTCTTGTAAGATGTTAAAAGTGGACAATGGAAAGATAATTTAAAAAATAAGGAATTAATATTCATACTATCAGTCACTTTACAAAAGGTTTTCTATTTGACTACAAAGCGTGATTCATCAACTTTTCTAAAATTTTTCTTGCTATAATTCCTGAGTTATTGTTTCTGCTAAAATTTGTTTCAGCACTTTATTGCCATTGGTATTAACATTATTAGTAGTACTATAGTTATCATGAATAAAGAGCTGTCATTATTATGATTTCTTTTAACATAACCATTCTCTTATGATTTCTGTTACCTTTATCATCTGCAGTTTGAAGCTTACGGAGATTTTTTTCACGACAAATAATTTTCCCAATTGAGATCGTACGAAAGGGAAAGGAGAACTCACCTGCGTCATCCTCACAGTCAAAGGAAAAGTAGCTTGGAGTCAGTTTGCCGTCGTCGTCTAAGCTTGTAATGGTAATTCCATATATTTCTCTTTGATTAATCTGGCAAATGTGGGCCACATCGAGGGTGGCACTCGTTACAACACAGGGGGCATCTGGAACAGAGTCAGGTGGATTAATCTGACTACTTTCATGAAGTTGGAGATGTTAGAAGAAAGACTTTTTAACTTTCTTTTTACATTACAGTTATTATTACTAATGTCATTATCTTTATTATAATTATCACAATTATTATTATTATTAATTATTGCTTTAAGTATTTTTATTAGTATTGTTATCATTATTATTACTATCATCATTAGTATAATTATCATTTTTATTATTATTACGCACATATAAACCTTTGCCAGTCATCTAATCAGGCACGTAATTCAACCAATGTAAATCCTAAATTAGGGTAGACTTACCACCAGATGCACGCCGAATTGTCATGTCATACTGAAGCTGTGAATCTGCTTTCCTGAAGACTTTTAAAGGTCTGGATTCCCATAAATTCAAGTGCAGGCTCATGGCGCGTTTGCCCGGCCGCCAGAGCAGCTTGGTGGGCGAATCGTGCAGGTCCAAGTCGATACCAAGCAGGTAGTATTGGCTGCATCCTGTAAGTGTATATTTAGTATAATGAGACGTATTTTACTTTGTTCTCGTTCTTTTCTTGGGCGTTGTTTAGAAATGTATTAGGACATTTGCTCTTTTATATTTTTCATGGCATTTCCCTTAAATCCCTTAAATTTGACCCCATATGTATACAATTTAAATAAAGAAACATCCCTGAATCTAATAACGTGTGACTTATACATATCGAGAAATAATGTTTAAATATATCAAAATGTCACTGACATTTGATGATTTTTTACATGCATCAATATTGATGACAAAGCGACTTTTAATGCCACTAATAAATATCTTGCATTATTGTTATATTATTTAGAACGTTTCCATGCTGCTATTTACTTTTATATATAACAAAATTAATAATGATAGCAATAAAAATTGTAATTTTACTTTTTTCCCATGCTCATTATTATTGTTATTATTATTTTGTTATCATTATTATTATTTATTAATACTATCATTATCATTGTTGACTCGGTTATGATTGTTATTTTATGATTATCATCATAATTATCACTATCACCATCATTATTCCTATGCTTATTATTATAAAGAATTATTATTGCATTATTAATATAATCATTCGTAGTAGCATTATCAATGCTAATATCGATATTAGTACTGTCATAGTAAAACCGTGTTTCTATTTATCTTTCTTTTAATGATTTTTGGATGTGGAGAGAGGTAAATGAATGTAAAGAATAGCTATTAGAAATCAAAAATTTAAATCCACAAAGAGGGGAAAACGATAAGTAATAGAAAATCAACAACTTATATTTTATCATGTAATTTTTTTATAATTCGAACCACAAGCACAGCACATCTACCGGAAGTCATGATAGCAGGCTCTAGATTCCACTTGGTGTCACGGGAACTCCAGAGATGCAGATGGTTCAAATCCTCATCGCAAGAGTCCTTCGCTAATGCCTCGGAGGAAACGCAGTACCCAGAACCTGCAAATAAACTTGAAAGCTATATATGTGTGTACATATATGTGTATATATATACTTGTTAATATATACACACATATTCATATGTGTGGGCTTTCATAAATCTATATCTATTTCTATATATCTTCGCACACAAACACACACAAAGAAACATGTTCAAATAAGCACACATATATGTATGTATACACAAATATGTGAATATATATGCATAAATATATATATATATATATATATATATATATATATATATATATATTGTGTAACTTAGCCACTGGGTGGGCAAGCCCGCCCAAATCAGTGCCGATCCCAAGCCCGGGGTAAT